AGTTGTGGCCAATTTTATTGACACGGCCCAGGGTCTCCTCTGTGACTCTGTTTCATGTTTGCCAGTAGTTTGATCAAGGCAAATATTTGCAAATATGCCAACAAACAGTGACCTGGAGAGTTCTTGTTCTTGGGTCTCATTGAAGCCAAGAGGATAAAACTGCTGAGGACTGGAAAGAAATTCAGTTGCCTGTTAAGTTTTTCTCATTGCCATCAGAGTGTAATTTTTCTGTTCAGTGCAGTTTAGCTCCAGTTGTTTTGAAAATTTAATTAAAATAAGGTTTAATTGAAATTTGAAGTTTGTGTGGTAGCTTGTAAAATTTTTAAAAAAGTTATTGAAAATGCTTCTTCACAATGGAGGATTCCATCCCCATCAGCCATATCTTAACTATATGGATCAGTCTTACTACCCTTACCACCAGAGCCTCCCTCAGGCAGTAGTGCCAGTTGATGACTTCTACAGAATGGTCAGAACTCCTTCCATACCATCTATACCTAACCACAATGCCACCATGTATTCAGGCTTTGAGCCCCACCAGACACAGTCCTATGGCTGTCCATGCCCGTCAACTCCACCTCAGCAGTCTTTTTTACATCAGATTCTGACCGGACAGGGATACAGAAATAATGCAACAGGACTTAATAATAATCAAATTAATAATCATAATAATAGACAAGTGTTAGATTCATCACGTCAATACTATTCATCATTTGCACAGTCAAGCTGTTGTTTTGGGAATTCAGTGAAACCATCAGGTTTTTCATCTATACAACAAGAAAACTAACTCTCTTTAACTGAGGTATAAATATAATGCAATACAACTTGTAAGTAAGATATTTCTTTTTATCAAATATAGAAATACTATTGTATGGAACTTCTTGATTATCCACGAAAAAAAAATCATTAAATTTTAGAAGTCCTCTGCTGTGTTTATGGCAAGGAGAATGTTATACTATATTTATTAACAAAGTCATTAAATACTTAAATTTGAGAAAATCAATGTCAATTGCAGGAGAAATAGTCTGAGGATTTTTTACGAAATGTAGTAATTTAAAAAAAGTTTTTATACATGATTAAGCTAGTTAACTGTATTTTAAATTCAATTAAACAATTTAAACAAACTGCTGGGTCATATAACAAAAACATATTATCAAGCATTATATATAGTTGTAATTTATTGTTTTAGGGCAATGGCTTTGAGATCCTTGATTTAGATTAGACCAGTGTTCTCAATATGTGTCACAAAAGTTTCACAGATATGTCACAAGATTTTGATATATAGTAATAAAATCAATAAAAATTATTTTTTTTCCACACTATTTTTAGAGGTTAAGAGAGTTCTGGGTTACTCCAACAGATTAAGCCCCCTGCCCTTTCCCCCTTACCCTACACTGTGTCACTCTTAAGAATTATACAAAAAAAAAAATTATCCCTGTTTTGAGAGACATCATTTGCGTCATAAAATTCATGATGTTAAGTACTGTTGATATGAATTGAAAAATACCAATAGAGCCATAGGTAATAAATAACAATGATGAGTTTATATGATCCCATTTTTTAGCTGTAACTTTGATTTGAGGCCCGCTTCTATTTTGAGTTAGATCTGCTTTTTTTTTTTTTTTTTTTTTTTTGTTTTATTTTTTTTTTTTTTTTTTTTTTTTCTGGCAATGAAAACCAAACCTCTGACATTCTCTTCAATGAACTTTGAGGAGAAAGTTTCAATAAATAATAAATTTTGAAGATGACAATTTATTCCATACAAAAAAAAAGGAAAAGTAATTCCACTAAAAGGTTGAACCATTATTATTTCAATATTAAAAAAATATTTTCATATCTCCTGCACATCCCTATCCCAGCTTACTAAAATATTGTAACTTACTTAGGAAGCCATATCAATTTACCTAGACATATATTATTTACTCTGCAGGGATCTTTTCTTCGCACAGACTTTGGATTTAAAGTATATTACCCAGCATCCAGACAAGTTCAAGATAGTCAAGTCATGGAAGAGGCTGATAGAATGCTAAACTCTTCTAGCATTCTACAGAACTCTGATACCACAACTCCTCCCACAAGAGAAAGTAGTTTTTCCATTTCACAGTTAATGCCAGTCAGTTAAAGATTGGTTGTTGTTGATAATGGTGTTTTTTATATTTGCATTGAAGCATCAAATTGGATTAAATTTAGTTATACAGTTTTCTGTCAAAATTTTCATCATGATTTAGAAAGCTATTTTTATTGATGTCGCCCCATCCCATCATCCTAAGAATGCATGAAATTTTTATTTTTTCTGTGAATTCACTTTGCAAAAATATAAAGCCAGTTTTTATCAAGACGAAGTAAAATAAGCTATGAATCCTCATTAGTTAGTTGTCCTTATATTTTATCAAGACGAAGTAAAATAAAGCTATGAGTCCGCATTAGTTAGTTTTCCTTATATTTTATCAAGACGAAGTAAAATAAGCTATGAATCCTCATTAGTTAGTTGTCCTTATATTTTATCAAGACGAAGTAAAATAAAGCTATGAATCCTCATTAGTTAGTTGTCCTTATATTTTATCAAGACAAAGTAAAATAAAGCTATGAATCCTCATTAGTTAGTTGTCCTTATATTTTATCAAGACAAAGTAAAATAAAGCTATGAGTCCTCATTAGATAGTTGTTCTCATATTTTATTAAGGAAAGTAGGATATCTTTTGTTTTACCCAGTATTTAAACATTGAAAATAATTGTGGCATAATAAAACTTAGTTTAAAAGACAGAATATGCTTTGAGAATGTGTCTCTAAATTTTTTTAGGGACCATCCATGTATTACGTATGCAATGATTGGGGGAGGGGTGCTTGTTGATTTTGTATATGGGTGAATATGGTTGGTATGGGTAGAAAGTGCATACATATATGCACAAATTCTGCTATAATTATGATATTCTGCAGTCCATAAATAGCCTATTTATAACTCTAAAAAAGCCACAATCTATCACCTTTCAGAGAAATCCAGGATCTGTCATTTTTCAAAGGTTATAAAATATCACTGCAATGTTTCTCAATTACCGTACTGTCACTTTGTGTTTTTACAAATTAACTGACTTGATATTGCTCTAGTAATAGTAATATTTAGTCCGTCATTCGCCTTTGTTTGTTTTCTTGCGTATGACTTAATTATTTTTGTTTAGCTAAGCCATACTTCAAATTAGCTGATTTATTTTTAAAAAAATGTAAGGACTGGCTAAAAATAAATATTTAGGTCATTAAGTGCCATCTGGTAGGAGCTTCTGCAAACAGTAATTACTCAAGTAAGTTGCTGGTTTGCACTCAGTCTGTTAGCTGTGTTCTGTCAATTGGATTGGAAGCAGAAATAAAATTAAGAATCATATTTCACTACACCCTTGGGAACCACTGGGTTGCACCAAAGAGACTGGAGAAAAGCCATTTGACTTTTTATAATGTAATTATTGTCTATAAATAAATTAACTTTTTTATGGGGGGGGGGGGGGGGAATTTTGACATTTTTTGTGCGTAATATATGGCTGGCTCTTTATCACAAGAAGCTATCATCAACTAAATAGCTATTGATGTTTCTTGAAGAATTCAAATAATTGATGAAATGTCTTATTGTGATATAAATTCAGCAGTTTGGTATGAATGGAAATCATGCATGTTTGTATTTATGATAACATGAAAATGTACAAAAATCTTAATTAAATGCTAATGGTGAATAATCAATATTTTTTTCAAATTTTTGTTTTGATTGATATAAAAAGTTGTTACTGGGCTAGATAGATTTAAATTTATATTTGAAATATGACATTAAATTTCAAATAAAACTGCAATTGCGTGGTAAAATAAGGTAACTTAAAATTTTAATACAGTTAATGTGCCTGCTCTTGGCTATATTTAGTTAAAAATGGTCAATGTCGGTTTCATTATTAGTCACTGCTACTGCTACCTGGGTAACCAAACATAGGCCATGTGAACCAGATTGGGATAGCTGGTGGGGGGCCAGATCTGGCCTTCAGGTCTTAGTTTGAGGATCCCTGGTCTGGGCAATTGATATAACAGTTTTAATTTTATAGATTTGGATTTAATTATAAATTTTCCAGACAGTTTTTGCTGTCCAAAGCTTTTTGGCTCAAACGTTGACTCTTTGTCCTTCAGGTTTTCCTATGCCGGTACGCTTTATATATTTCTTATTAAAGATTTTCCTCTAGTTCCTGCCCTTCCTATCTTACTGAACTTCTTACTGTCTATTCACCCCTTCGAAAGCTTTGTTCCCCCGCAGACACATGTATTCTTTCTGTTCCCAGAACACAGACTAAAACATATGGTTAACGATCTTTTTTCCTGTGCCTCAAAATAATGGAATTCTCTCCCATTACACAACTGCAACATAACGACCATCACAGCCTTCAGAAATGCCCTAAAGACCCATCTCTTCAAACTGTACTATACCACTCATTCTCATATCCCCCCTCCCCCATAAACAACGCTTGATTCTGCTGGGTGCTGTCCATGGCGAGACATAGATGGATAATACTTGGGTGGGTGAGGTCAAGCTTTTCACCAATTGTTTTTAAATGTATACGTTTCTGTAATTGCTAATTTTTTATGTGAAGCACAGTGAGCCTAGCCCTAGGCTGGGGTACTGCACTATATCAAACCACCTAATAATAACTAACAATAAAATGAAATGTTCTCCTGCATGATGGTTATGAGGGGATAAATAATTATATTAGTATTAGCTTAATAGCTTCAATAATTTTATATAAAAAATTTCAGATAAATCCTTAACAATTTTCCAGATTTAAAATATGTAAATTTAACTTTATAGAGTTGGAAACCCTTGCAGTGCAGCATGTTTATATTACAATTTGTTGTGATGAAATAAAATCATGGATTGGCCTAATAATTACTAATATCAATATTTAAGAAACTTAGAAAAAATTATATTTTGTCCAATGAAAGGAAAACTAAATTAATGAAAGAATCCCACTCCATAAATACTGAATACATTTAATTTTATTTGAACATCAACATTAGTTTTCATTCATTATTTTGAATCAAATATGATTGTATACAAATACTTCAAACAAATTAGCTCCAGATTTAAAAAAAAAAAATGTCTGTCTATGAAATCCAGACATAACAAAAATATCATAGCAGTGAAACAAAAATTAACACTCAAACTCAAGGGTACTATTTAAAAATAGACTCAATGTGACTACAAGGTCCAAATACATTTGCCAAGTATCTGGACAGAAACTTTAAGCAAATCATCATGAATAACCTCGCTACAGAGAGTAAAAAAAATTCATTTGTGGCCATCTCAATAGATAAATAAATGTTTTGAAATTGGACAGTTACTTTCAATTCTTGTTTGTTAACTTTCATTTTCATCAATATAAAAATCAGCATGAAATAAATGACGGGTGTAAATTTTAGGCTGGGGTTTTCTCTTCGTTGGATCATGTGAATATGTGCTGATGAGTTTCTGGTTGTCTTTAAACTGTTGAAGTTTTTTTATTTCATCAAGGCTGTCTTTTATAATCTGTGAAAGCAAAAATTAAAGCATGATCAAATTGTTATGATAATGACTCAGTATACAAATTTAGTAAATAATCAACTACCTAGACTTTTATTTTGTGACCCAGCAGTACAATCTTTCCATGATAAACCAAACATTCAGTGTTTGAGGAATGGACATTCCGGTCTCCTGTTGGCCGAAGAAACATGGTGTGGGAACATTAATAATATTGGGCATAAATCTCTAAAAATATACTGAAGCTTGAAATGAAAAGCATAACTAACCACCAATGTCAAACAAAAATTATTTTTAACCAAAATAAGATTTATCTTTCCTCTTTCCTAACAATCTCACAAATTACATGACATCCACCAAACCCCTAATTCCATTCCTCTTATTGTTTTCATGTAAGATTTATGTTTCTGGCGTATAGTAGTGGCGGGAAACCTGTTTTTCTAGATAGCTACAGTTATTGCAAATGACAAGTAAAATTCCCTACACACATAACTTATAAAAAGAGAGTACTTTTTTTCTACTAAACAGAAATTAAAAGAAAGAAAAATTCACAGCTTTATCATATTTCAACCATAATTTTTGTGTCAGATTTCTTTAAAAAGCTGCAAAAATGAAGGCTAAATTATAGATCATGGACCTCTTCCACACAGCATAAGCTAACCCAGTGGAATATTTTATGCAGTTTTTCCACATTGAATCTTATTCAAATGTTTGTTGGACTTAATTACGCTTTAAACTCAGAAAATTCACCAAAATTCTGCAGATCAGGATATCTCATTTGTTTAGTAATTAATTTATGCTTAACAAATTTTTTTTTTTTGCAAAGTAATTGCTGGGCTTGCGAAAAGGGCTCCGTCTTCTTGGCACTGATAGTTCAAAAAGAAGTTTTTCATTAAAATAAATAGGTAGTAAGAAATAACTTCAAAAGTAGATCTTTTAAAATCATTCGTGAGGCTTTAAAATCAAACAATTTAAAAGATAGAAGATAAAAGTCTCACAAAGTTTATCAATAATTAAAACTTTTTTTTCAATTCATAAGTAATGAGAAGATTCAAAGTTTTATTTTGTATTTCAAAATATATTAAATATTTTATACCTTGGCAAATGTATTCAAATTTTCTGGAATACTTCCATCTGTTGAGTTTCTAAGCTCATCTTGATACTGGTTAGAAAAGCATGGCCTCATAGATGAATTACTTTTGACACAAACACTACTCTGTGAAAATATTTTTTTTTAAAGGTATTGCAGATTTGATTTGAAAGATTAAACAATAAAAAAAATTGAAAAAGTAGTACATAAAGTAATTGTCTTTTTATCAGGTATATCACAAATAGAGTGGATTTCATTATCAAAGTAACCTATATCTCAAGGATGAATTTAATATACCTCATTCAACAAATATGGCTATTTCAAATTTTGATTACATAAATTATAAATTTAATGGTTGTATTCGTCATTTGTATAACATATGTTTAGAACAGTGGTTCTTAACCTGGGTTCAATCCAACCCCAGGGGTTCGGCGTGGGCCCAAAAAAAAAAAAGAGAACATAAATCTTATTTTATTTTTCCTATTAAGAAGGGTTCGGTGAATGCGCATATGAAACTGGTGGAGTTCGGTACCTCCAAAAAGGTTAAGAACCACTCGTATAGAGGAAACCTTTGAAATTGCTGCTCTTTGAAATTTCTGCTGTATTCCATTCATCCAAGACAACATTTACTCATGCTTCCTATAGCTTTTATACCAAATCAAAATACATTTCTCAATTTCTCTGTACACATTTCACTGCATCCTGAGGTGACTCAACAAAACACCACATTTTAAAAGTATTAAGTATTAGGGGTGTGCCGGATCCGTTTTTTCCAACCGGATCCGGATCCGGTTTTTCTTATGCGAAATCCGCCGGATCCGGATTCCGGTTTCTCCCGGATTCCGGATTTTGGTACTATTGGTAGATACTTCGGTAAGTCAAGGTGGACTACTACTTTTTGTGTATGGGAATTCGCAATCGGCGCCAAAAAATCCGAGTTTTTAATTTTCCGATGTGTGTGTCTATTTATTATTAAATTAGTACTTTCGATATATATTTGAGTTCCGTTCCATTTGGATAAGTGTCTTACGAGAGACGCCATGTTTCTACGCGTTCGCAGCAGGTTATGCAGCTCGCTCAACCTAATTTCGCCATGGGGTTGGCCACGCCCCCCTTTTTAATGGCGGAAGTTGACGATACTTAGGAAATATTAATTTATTATCACTATTTACATCAAAATAATTGATAACTTGTGTTTCAGAATGCATTTAAAGACATTTAAACTGGAATGTTTTAATTTGAGCTTTAACAACCCGGTAGAATCCATATTATAAATGATCAGAATTTACCGTGTGCAACACGTTGTCATTGGCAACCATTCACAGCCACTTGCATAACTGTATCGTAGTACTACCTCAGAGTTTCATTCATAAGAGTTTGCCGTGTGCAAAAACTATTAAACCATTGGTCAGGGAAAGCTTTAATTAATTATTCATGTGCCAAAGTTGAAAGTTTAAACTAAGTCTAAACAGTATTTTAGTGATAAGGCAGGGAATGCGTTGCCTTATATAAACTATATAGTCATTGCGCATGACGGGATTGGTGGAATGAGATCACAGAATGTGGAGATGCAGTCCATGTTAAAAAATGACAAACCAAGTCGTACTTTAAAAATTCATAACTTTAAAACTACAACAGCTAAAAATATGATTTTGGTGTTATAATTCTTTAAAAAATTACATCTTTTCAACTATGCCATTGGTTTATTTTTACAAAAAGTTTAAATTTTCTTATCAAAGTCCCTACACTATTGGCCACTATTAGCGGTGCTGACTCTAGCCTCTGGTATGTACGGAATATTAAACATTAAACAAGCTCAACGCACGAAACAATCGATTAATGTATCGTGATCGTGTGAAATTCGGGAAAGAGAATTACTTTTATTTCAGATTATGATCCGGTGAGTCACAAAATCTGGCAAATTCCGAAATCCGGTATATTCCGGATTCCGGAATCCGGTTGTTCCGGATACATGTAAATCCGGCGGAACCGGATTTCACCGGATAGTGCAAAATCCGGCGGAACCGGATTCCGGACCGGGGTCCGGCACACCCCTATTAAGTATAATATAACTTAAAAAGATTAAAAGATGTAGAGTGAATGTTTCATTGAGACAAAACAAAGAACAATTCGGCAAAAAGGCAATGAAACAAATATTCATATGCATAATTTGTACAGTAACACAGAATATTATCAACATAATTTTTTAAATGTGCAATACCAAAACCACATTTCCTAGTTTGCTGAAGAAGGTTTTAGCTTATGTGTTCAACAATTAAGTAAGTATACTTACATAATAATGAATTATTTTGCTAGTTACTTCCCTTGCTTTACCACGGCATCTTTGAGGTTGTCTTTTCCTCAATTTGGCAATCTTAACAACTACATCATCAAGTGCTGGGACTAAATTTTGTTCTAAATGTTTTTTCTTGCATACATCAAAGGGTTCAAAGGCTGAAGATATAAATGAATGAATTCACAACACATAAAAGTGTAAAAAGGCAGTTAACTTGTTTTTTTATACAGGGCTTAAGGGTACACTGAAGATTAAATTCAGGGGCTTATTAGAAAAAAACAAACAACAACAATCGGATAAAGCAGAGAATTGGCTTGGTGCCTTAGGGATATGTTTTCATAACATTTAGGGTTCAGGTTAGGTTTCGGGATAGGGCCTACATTTTTAATTGATAGGGTTCAGGTTAGTGGTTAGGTTTAGGGGGCTTCCATTATTTATGTCAACTAAATAGGGGAGAGGTAGGGGGTTGGAAATGTTTGACAGTTGTTAAAAGAGGGAGGGGGGTGCAGATTAGTTGACGCCAGCAATAATGTTTTTTCTATTAAAATTTTAATCTTAAAAATTGACTGGTTCTTACATAATTTTATACATTTTAATGAGTGTAAATAGTCATGCATATTTAGGCTTTTAGTTTTAACAATATAAGAGATATTTAATGTGTGTCTGTCTATGCACTGCAGATGGCTGGTCAGAATGTTAGCACACTTTGTTAGTGCAAGAGAAGTCAAAAGTTGGCATCGCTTCACCTGAAATTTTTCTCTTAATCCCCTCCCTAAAATGATTAACACATCTAAGTACACGAAGTTCAATTTTTTTTTTGAAAAAGCACCAACTTATAATATAACAACTATACCAACTCAAAGACAGAGAGAGCTTATGGCTATGGGCATTATGGCAACTATTGCTCACACAGAAAATGCTTCGATTTTAAGTGCTAAATGGTTAGATGAGGATGATGTTGATTTGTCTGGTATATCACTTCCGCAAGATGAAAATGGTAAATCAGCTACTATAGACTATGCCCATCAGGGTCATCATTTTAAATAAAACCAGCAAAAATCGGGGCTGGGGGGAGAAAATGCCCCCTGCCCTACCAAATGATGTCCCTAATGCCCATTGTTACGATACAGCAACACCTGGCTACTCCATGGGAAGATAATGGTAGCTACAAACTATACTATAATTGTCAGCTATACTGACAATAATCATATTTATAATTCCACAAACAATTATATTTAGTATTTAACAAACTTTTAATTGATTCAGCATTATAAAATTTAACTGTAAAAACTTTTAACTTGCTGATTAACATAGATAGTACATAGCATAATGTATAACCTATGCCATAATCTAGTTAAGTTATAGTCATATTAGAAAGATAGCATTGACAGTAACAAAATTTAAGTTACCGGTACTTAGTTAACTTAGGGGCCATCCATAAATTACGTCATGCGTCTAGGGGGGATGCATCCATAATTGATGTCACACTATTTTGATCATTCTTACCCCCAAATCAATACTAACTAATTCTATTATCAGAAATCGTAAAAAATAAATAAAATGAAACACTTCATCACAAATATGTCATGGTCACTTAAACTATATTATTTAATTATACAGTGTATCACATCACCATGCGCTCAATCGCTATATCAAGTCAAGACCTTCACACGCATCCCCTTATTACTTCAACAACTATACGTACAACAGACCTGTTTACTCTTACAATTTTGGTGTACATGTACGATTTTCAGGTGTATACATTATATACTGTATGCATGGGCGCCCGCAGGTAGGGGCAAGGGGGCGCACTTGCCCCCCCCCCCCCCCATGGATTGGTTGGATAAAAAAATTTTTAGACAAAAAAATTATTAAAGTAAAGAGAAAATAAAGAGAAAGTAACTAAGCTGATGTCCTGTCCGTTCGTTCACCATACAAATATGCTACAGTAAAT